AGACTAACAGGTGCTGGCTACGTTTGTGTAGTTACCATATACACGTGTGTGCGTGCATATGGGCTCTTAAGTCAACACCTATAACAGTCAGTCGTGGCTGAACGCGCCCGGGCAGAAAAAGCACAAAAGCCACAGTTTCTCCATCAGCCTGAACTTGCAGGTTGTGTGGTCTAGTGTCTCCTAGATCACAACTTACCCCCCTCCTGCTTCTCCTCCTTTTTCCTCTCTTCTCCGAACTTCCCCTATTCCCACTGGTCAATTACTCTAAACGAATGCCAATCATTCCACCCAGCTGTTGGCTCAAAACAAAGCCCCCTCTAGACAAAACCACCGCTGTCTACAAATGTAACCTACACAAGACAATGACAGACATGAACATTTGTCCTGGAACAATTCAACTGCCGTGAAGACAAACTACTGTGCTCACCTGAAATTAATCTGTACATATTTTAAATCATTTAACACTGAGTTTTTGTAGGAAATTAAACTCGCCAGTGCTGATCTCCTTTTCTCTCTTTCACTTTTTCCTCCTGCCTTTGCAGTGTTTAAAATCCTCCTTTTGGGGGGGGAAAAAGTGTGTGCTTTTCTCAGAAATGTTGGATGAACTTCAGACCACCCTGCCCAAGTCCCATCTGGTGTATCACAGCCCAGGCTATGCCAGAGGTTGTAGGAATGTGAGTGTGTGTGGTGTTTTCCCTCTGGCCCACTCTAACTATGGCTGACAATGTGCTCCACAGCCTAAAGCTGAATAATTGAAGAAACCATGATTCAGTGTCGAATGACTTTCTGGTACAAGGAGTCTCCATGCTATTGTCCACCTCCAAGAAGTTTAAAAGAGAAGAAATCTTGCATTGAACTCAGACATTTTCTCCCCAGCAGTCATAGTGACATCGTTCATTCCCCAAGTCATTAAAACCAGAAATAGGGGAAAGAGTAAACCATTATGTATGAGGCTAAGATAAGATTAGTCACTGGTTGAAAGCACAGGGTGTTGTGACTACTTCTAACAAGCTGTGACTGACACAGTACAGTAACATGACAAAACGACTTTGAAAACAAAGTTGTACTGGCCTGAGACTTAGTAAGTCATTATTAGTTGAGTAATGGGCCTCTCTGCGTAGTGGGGATTTCATGCGACATCTAAATTCACTGCTATTCACAATGTGAGGGGGGGGTCTGCTATCTTGTATGACTTCACAGGATATGACCCAATGTTATATCATCTGCTGTCCCTTCTGGTCATTTACAACCCACATAAACCGCATTGGACTACTCCCACTAATTGACGAATCGAAGTTCCCGTACATGTACTCTCTTGATATTTTTAATGGCAATGACACATAGAATTAGGCATATTTATTCATTTAGTCAACGTATTCTCACTCCACACAAAAAGCTGCACTAGAAAAATATCTTTTTTTTTTTTTCAATTCATAAAAAAGGGGGGTGGGGGGAGTTGCTGTTCAACCTAATTTTTTTTAATTTTTTAATCCACAGCCGTGAATGGGAGCGCTGGTAGCTGAGCAGTAGGACTACAGGACCTGGGTTCGGGAATGGGAGTGTGGGGCATGGTAAGAGGTTTAACTGCTATGTGAGAACTCAAGGCTTCTAAGGTCAGCAGCTCAGTTATAGTCACTGTGTGACTGGCACAGATTGGGCGCGGAGCAGTGTCCACATGACTCCCCTGTTCTAGCCTACACCATGGCACAGATCAGCCCTGTACCAGCGCACCGACGCACCAAACACGTTCCGGCACACATACTGTACTCAGCTCTCACCGATTCGCACATGCTGACACAAGACCCAGACTACGGTTTCTTTTGGTGAGAGAGAAAAACAGTTTTACCATAAACTTGGTACAGTTCTATAAAAGGAGATATTTAAAATTGTGACTAAGACTTAAAATATCCGGTTTGTTCATTCCTGTCGCACTGGGCAAAAACACTTTTGTGGAGAAACTGAAAACAGTAGCTGTTTTGAATCACTCAATAACTGCAAGTGGCTGCAAGTTCATTAAAAATTATTTACTTTCACTACTGAAAGATTAGTTTTGTTCCTGAAAGGCCTTCATGCAATAACTGGAAATACAACATGTCATTGTTTTTAATCTGCTGTGAAATATTAAAGCTTGCTGTGACAGTGTCCATGTTAAAGACGGTGTTTATGTGCCTCACCTGACAAATATTCCTCAGAAGCTGGAGTTTCTGAGCAGGTACGTACAACTCATTTATCGCCTGGAGTGAGAAGGGTTGACTGTTGACAACTGACTGCTGATTAAAGCAGCAGTAACCAATTGAAAGTCATGCAAATGGGCCATTTTCAACGTGAAACAAAAACTCCTGCAGGGTTAATTACAGCCAAGAAAGTCTGCCATGCCTAGGCCCATTCATGTCAGTGTACGTCTGACAGTGACCATACTCAAACTAATGCTCAGGCTTTATGGATAAATATGCCTTTTGGGGCAAACCTTAGTCTATGTAATAACACCCATTTGGCAAACACACATATTTGAGTAGAGTATCTGAGTGCAAGTCAGGTCAAGCTTCTATAAGGTTGTGTTTATGCAAGATGATCGTCCCGATAAAGTGCAGTAAAAGTCTAACCCGGCGGTTTTGAAAAGGTATGGTCAACTTTCTTTTATCCTTTATGAAATTATGAGTATCTGCAGGTGCATGAAATAAAAAACCACGATTGTATGATGGCTGCTGCAGAAGAAGGTTTTAAATTGTAAAAATTGACCCCAAAAAAATCTAAGTTAGTCATGGGAAATGCACTTGTATTCTCTAGAAGACCAAAGCCTTAAGTGAGGGTTTGTCAATCTGCTAATCTTGGCACATGTGAAGTGCCATGTCTCTTCTATCCCCACAAACCAGGCAGAGAAAACGCCTGTGGTCAAGGATGGAAAACACAGGACATAGCGGTCGCACTAACTAGCATCATCTCATCAATGCCTGACCACTAAAAGTATCCTGAGTCTATATTAGTTTTCCTGTTTTGCAAATTGCCCATGTCTCCAGCTCCATCTGCAAAGATCATCATGTGTGTACAGTTTTACCAACAAGAGTTTCCTTCAGCAGGAGTTTCCTTCCCATATCTTCTGACTATCCACCAATGAACTGCACGGCTGACTGGTGGGACTGTCCATTTAAATTCAAATATGCTTAGCTGTGGTCTCTCCGGCATACTGATGACACCAGAATTGTAAGTCTTAGGGAAGTGAGCAGGCCAAACACATTTTAAAAGCCTTACCAAACCATGTAATCTTAAAAAATATTCAGAAAAAACATGTTATTATACAGTGAGCCCCATAACAACCCATGGCAGACACCACTGAAACCTCCATAACAAAGGTGTGTTTCACTCACTGCAATTTTTGATGATTCAACCTGTAGAATAAACAGTAACATTGTGCATTACTTAGTTTAGAGAAGACATGATATTCTGTGCAGAGAGGGGAATTTTTGCTCTGTAAGCTGAAGTTGAAAGACACTTCGTACATGTCATGCAGGTTGACCACAGCTAAGCATACGTAGAACTATTTTCTTTTCCTAAATTATTTTTACACAGACTTGGCTGCCTTTACATTTGATGTTTTCACATATCACTTCCCACTCTCCTACTGTTACTCAAAAAGGTTACAAAGTGCTGATTGAGGACCATCCTGCACTCTCAGAAGGCGCTGCACCACCCTGTGGCATCCATGGGCATAGCAGGCCTTTCTCCACAGGGATGTTACAGAGCAGAGCACTCAAAGCAAAGCATGGCTTAGCTCAAATCCGGATGTATCAAACAGAAATATAAAGAAAACAAAGCTCTCTCTTTGCAGAGGCCATGCGGTCTGTTATCTAAGCCTCCAGGTTTGCGTGATCTCACCACGCTACACGGTCACAGCGCCAGTGCTGAGAGAATCCTATCTTCTTGGCTCACAGTAAAGTGATACCCTTTGAGGTGTGGCTATAGCCACAGGATATCCTATGAAGTTGGGAAATCCCTCTATCAACGGTGCTCCCCGCCCTACTGCACGTCAGGGCTAATCAGTCCTTAAGGCCCGGTAATGAGACGCCCGCCACCACTGTCTGCCAGGCAACGCCAGCCTGAGCCCACACTAACTCTGCTGCTCCTAATGAGTGGTAATCACCCAGCAGCTCCCCACAAACCACTGCAGGGATGCCGGCACGCACATGAGGCAGGCAAAAACCAGCAGACAGAAGGGGGGGAAAGAGGAGGGAACCGAAGGAAATGTTTACATGGAGCAGCTTAAAAAATAACTTGTAACATTTCTTCTCTGTGCTGAAGAAACAAGGCTCCTTTAAACTTTAAAGCATGCTGCTGTTTGATACACACCAGGAACTAATTCAGCACAGTGATAAAAAGCTTTTACAGCTGCAAACTGAAAAATCACTCCTCCTCAGTAAATTTACACACATCCATTTGTTATCCTGTTGTTTTTGGCATGCTACCTCACTTAATGGAGCACTGAAAACAATGATACCATCTGAGAGGGCATCAGCTCTGCTTCAGGAACAAACTGATGATAGAGTGTTTAAGGATACTGCAGTAATTAAATAGCAAGCAATAGCAACCACTATATTTGCTTCTTCCGGATGCTGCTGTGCCTCTGTGATTGGTGAATCCCAGTTGCATGACTGTGGGCAGCCTTCCTGTATATGTCGCACATGAACTAAATAAAAACAAACTCTTGACTCAGTGTTAGGACTCACATTCAGCACGGTTTACAAGACCACAGAATGACATGCCTTTTACCAAAGCTCAAATTTAAACCAACGGAGTCGTCTCAGCGAGCCTTCTGAGCCCTGACAGGGTCAACTGAGCACTTCCTTTTCCAACAGTTTATACAATATCTCATCAAGGTGCTGTAACCTATTAAGTCAAGTAACTAAAGCACAGCAAGCATCTCCCGATTCAAACATTAATGATAACGGATTTAGCAGAACCAGCACCTGCCACAACAGGCTGAGGGAAGGAAAATGAGTACTCACATTCTTGTGGCAAAGGATGACAATTTAAGCGGGTGCTTGACTACGCCAGGAATCCCACCCCACCCTCGGCTGCGCGGACTATGGGCAGGAGAGATTGTGTTTATGTTACACTTACGCTCCACCGCACTCTGGAAATTGGGTATGCAACATTGACCCTCTATTTTGAGTAAATCAGTACTCAAGAGGCCCTAGGATGCCTCGTGCTCATGGAATATTTATTTGAACAGGTTTGTGTTAGTATGTCCCACAGTCGAAGCCCAGCAGGACTATGCTGCTGGAGTGTCACCAGTGTCAAGTTTCTGGGAAGTTGGCCACGGGGCAGTCACATTTTGTATCTGTGTCACCTGTGCAGGCTCTTTCAGTATGTTTCATGTTCCTCAGCTGCACGGCTAAATCATTCACTGACACTCATTCATATTCCCTCCTCACCGGGCCGCGGAATAATAAATCTGGAGTATCGTAATACCACATGTCTCTCTGCACTACACAGGCCACAGATAGAGAACAGACTGACAGAGGGAATTGAAAACAAGTGCTAACTGAATAAGTAAATATGCATTACCATTAGGGCCATTAAGGCTGATGTGAGTGCCAATTTGGCACGTCAACCTCGATACATACTGCCTGCCAAGGGCGACACTGCTACAGGGAGGGAGACAGAAACAGAGAGCGGGGTTACATTTGTCCTTCTAATGCAACTTTAGAGCTGAAAGCAAATACAGAGAAAGTACTTGATACGTACATAAGCGTAACAGATGATGACGTTTTACTGAGAAGGGCTGAGATATTTCAGTCATACAGAGCTATTACATGCGCCATACAGCATGTTTGCATCACTCAGAGGAGTGACAACACTTTGGTGCAACACCCAAGAGAATAACATTTACCAGACAGTTAGTAGCTGTTCCTTTTATACTTTGCCTGCTGTTTTTTTTTTTTTTACTTTTCATTAGATTTCTATATCAAAATACCTTATTAGGGATAGCCTATCCAGGAAAAGGTAAAACCCACATCAACAGGTCTAACACACCAGTCTATCGGGCCCTTAGGGGACACTTCCTGTGCTCTCTTGCAGATTCACAACAGTTCCCAGATCACCTAACACTCCTGGATCCTGCACAACACCCATACCTCCCATAAATTAGACTCTGCTGGAAAGGCTTCGAGTGTCATCACTCCACAGTCTATACAGCCATTTGTCTCTGTCTGTGTGTGTCTGCACCGTTTGAGGCCAAGGGGAGCACTAACAACACCTATCAACACAGATATTTGTAGATACGAAAAAGCACCACGATCTTGTTTCTGGTTAGTATGAAATGCCTCCAGTTTTAAAAGGTACATTTTGTCAATGTCAATTTCCAAAGATTAGCTGTCACTTCTGGTGGATTTTTCTTTGGATAAAATCTCCTCAGTTCCAGGTGAAACATGGCTGCTCCCCCACCTGACACGCTGACCTAATTTGAATGACCTTGGCTTCCCTGTTGGGTAAATGTTCTTCTGCAACTAAGACAGAAGGAGAAAATTAAGAGTGCAGTTTATGTGAGCCACACAAACTGCAGTTGTGTTGAATTAGCAGCCACTCTGAAAGTGGAGGTCATAGTGGGCTACACCTAAAATCCAAGGCGTTCCCTGGGAATGACTTACTTTGAAATATACACCCTTGTGCTCTTTCTAAATTAAACATTATTGTGTATATGACATGATTCATGAAACGCTAAATTTTTCGGATTGATTTCCGAACACGTGTTCCAAGTGTTTTTTAAAGTTGATGGAGGCAGCAGAAAAAAGCACCCTGCCAGAGTTGTGTGATGTTTATGCTGGATGGGGGAATTTTCTGTGCAAGCTGAGCAGACGTTTCGGCCACCAGTTCAGTCAGTCAGATTGCTTTATTGTTACCAGCTGTTGAGTCTGAGGCATATACACTCACCTTTCGCTCCGCCGCTGTTTTCAGAGTCGACTAAGGATATGATTTTACAAGTGTTTCAGCAAAATAATCACCCGACCGCTACCTGCCATTCAAACGTGCCAGGGGTTACTTTACAGTGGGCGCTGGCTCAATTGTCAGGGAGAGAATGGGGTGAACTCTCCCCCGGCCAACATTACTCCGAGGTTGCGTTCATCTACCTTTAATAGATGCTGTGTTTATGGGCTCGCTGACCCTGCTTGTCACAAAAAATATGAAATTGTCAGCAGCTTCAGTGAGGCCAGATCCTGTGCAGACAACCTGCTGCAGCCACAGCTGTGGGGCCGCTGTGCGCTGCGTAAACGCGGCCAAATGACACCTAACTGACCCGAAGTTATAAATGCAATCAAAGCAACTCTTATAAGTAATCTAAATGAATTGGATTGCTTTTGTTGCAGATTCACATGATGAACTTATAGTTAAAGGAAGTTTTCAGTGAGTTTAAAATGGTTTAAAAAAGTTGTTGCCTGCTTTGTATTTCAGGAACCAATCAAATCAATGAAAGCAGCATCATGGATACACTGTATGTCTATCAGTCCTTACCCGAAATATGCTGCGGTTGGTCCAGGCAAGTTGAGAAGATACACTATAACTGTGAACGATAACCATCCCAGGAGTAGGTGTCCATCCAGCATTTTGCTGCGGCTCCAGGGCAGATCATTTCGTTTCTCCTGAGTAGCTGTGTAAAATCCCTTGTTGAACGTTCAACACCTCTTATACAGAGAGGAGCTGCGCTGCGCTCCTCCCATCAGCAGAGAGAGAGGAGAGAGAGAGAGAGAGAGAGAGAGAGAGAGAGAGAGAGAGAGAGAGAGAGAAAAGAGAGTAATATGGCAATACATACAGAGAGTTGAATTGATTCACTATTCATTCTCAAGTTTCACACAAATAAATCTTCTCAGTTGTCTTGATTTATGATTGGCATGACAGTTTCTGCTCTGTGGGCGTTTAAAGCACCATGCAGCCACAGTGTTTGTGCAGACTGAGGTCAGTCTGAGCTGGACTGTATATGATAAAACACTTGTTTACCTTCAGTCAGTGACAGTTTATTTCCGTAATGGCAAACCCTGAATTGGTATAATCCAGCACATGCAGGATAATAGTCCATATACTCCACTGTAAATCCACTGGCTAAAAAAGATGTTGTAGTTACTCTTTGGTTCATTTTTGTGCAGTAGTGGAAAGTAACCAAGTATTGCACTTAAGTACAGTTTTGACACAAATGACAAAATAATCTCACAAGGGCGACTTTATTCTCTGAGGAGGAGTGTGATATGACTGAAAGCTCCAGAACAAATAGCTTACAATTAAAATAGTTTTGTCAACTGCTTTTTCCAAGGTCAAGAATAAACTTTCAATCTGAAGTTTTGACATATGTAGGTGGTTATTCAGTAGTCTGTTTCCATGTTATCCTTTATACTTCTATTTCACAAACTTTCCGAGGCAAATATTATACTCTGTTATGTTTATCTGACAGCTGGAGTTACTTTGCAGATGCCCAGGAAACATATGACGGACTTATATGATATGAAGCATTTTGTTAATGCATTAAACTATCCAACAACTGTATACAAGTTAAATTTAGCTCAGCTTTAGATGCATTTTGATAAAATAACTTTTTATACTTTTTCCACCTCTGCTGCATTGTACGGAAAGGTGTACTCATGGTTTCAAAATGCTGTTCTAGACTTTGCATTATGAACTAGTTATGTCCCACATATCGTCATGTCTGTGTTCATTTCATCTGTCAAAAAGACAATGTATACAGCAGAAAAGGCTTCCCGTTTAGTAGGTTTTTGGTTAAAGATTGTCTGTTGAAGTTAAATATCAGTCTGGTCTTGCCTCTTGCAAGACACAGCGAACAGTTCTCCTAAACCACATGCGCTGAGGTGAGTTCATCTGCAGTTCACAATGAAGAAAGTAAATTTGTCCACAAATATAACTGTAGGCGATTTCACAAGAGCAGAAGACGAAACCTTTAATCACTTTGCAAAATATCATATTGAGTACCATAAATCAATTGGCAAACTATCAATCATTCTGGAAAGTAATCTGAACCCTTTGGCAGGCCTGCTCTTGAAAAATATTTACTCTTCCTACGCATTTGATTGCATAAGATTTGGAGATTACCAAAACGTTTAGTTATTGTCACAGAAAACCTTCTCTAGCATGCAAACACTTTTGAAACACTTGTCGTTGTTTTTAATGCTATATCTTTGTGAAGTACATAGATGAACATATAACTGAATAACAAAAAAACTAAGCTAATAACTAAAGGACTATGGTTTATATTTTTAGTTTATACATTTGAATATTTCAAAACATAGACTTAATAGCTGGTTAAATGACAGTAATTCCCAGCAACGTTTCACTGACATGACACCACTATTCACAGGTTTATCAAGCATTAACATCATAATGAGTAAGAAGCAGTATTACAGATTTTTTGACTAAACTGACCTCTTGATTTGTAAATAATACCCACAGATTGTTTGCCAACGGAGAATGTCTTTAGTCAGGGACAACCCTACTTAACTCCTGTGTAAACACCTTTCATTGGCTCAGCTACCACCTGACATCTTTTGTGTCCGCACACACCTTGATTTCTGGCACATAAAGAGAGAGAGGTATCTGAAATTGGGAAGGGTCCAGGTTTTCTCAACTACACCTGGGGAGCGCTCCTGCCAGGATTCGGGATGAAGTCTATTCATTTCCAATCTCAAACAATATCCAGCCCGTTCACCGCAGATCACAAACAGCCACAGATGGGCCAAGGAGTTTCACAGAGCCAAGTTTCTACTCACTGTGTGCAAACAAAATAGCACCTCAAATTAGAGATTAAAAGTGAGCAAATACGATAATTATGGTTGCGTGTTTCACATGATACTGGATCTCTCATGATCACTACCAACAACAGATCGCCACTATTCACTATTCAGTATTCGTGTGTTATGAATGAACATGACAGGTTGATTTGTGGCTTAAGGCTATTTTAAAGCAAACATTTGATATTTAAGGAAATATAGTGGTATTGACTTTCTGTCTGTTGAATATAAGGCTACAGATAGCAGCCAGTTAGCTTCGCTTAGCATAAAGACTGGAAACAGCTAGCCTGGATCTGTCAAATGGTAATACAATCCACCTACCAG